GCAACATGATTGCCACAACAAGTTAGTTGACATCCCTCACCGCACAGGTACAGTTCTTCTATCCCTGCCACCACTAGTTCTTGGTGACTTGTTAGTTCCCATCACCCTGGAGACTAGGACACAGTGTGTGTCCAGTAAACACTTGCCAAATGACTGAATGTGAAAGGAAGATAGTGTATAAATGCAAATAACATTTCTTTTACCATTACTATGGGCTAGCTGTTTTAATACATGTTTTTCATTTAATTTTCACAACTTTATGAAGTCTTTTTCCTGTATTAGCAAAAAGAAGCTGAAGTACAAAGGGGGTTCCCCACTAAAGTCCTTACTGCTAGTAAGCTGTTACTTAAACTCATGTCTCCAACTCTAAACCCCGTCCCCTCTCTGCCATAACCTGTTGCTTCTCCTACAAGCCAGCCTTTTATTTCAAAACAGGAGAATTCAGCATGTTTTCATGTGGTGCCACATTCTGACAGGGGTTTGGCATGTCACATCTCAGTTGAAAATTGTGAAATTAACTTTATGTGCTCTCTGCTTTAATGAAGCTATGAGATGTATAAACAACAGACATTGAAACCAAAAATATTTTGGTATTTGAGAATGTCCTTGACTTTTAACATTAATTATCTATTAGGAGAAACAGACAAGCCAGTAAACAAGTGCAGTACTATATTATAAGCACTAGTAGAGAGTGGGGAACAATCTGGGGAGGTGCCTCACTCAGACTAAGCTAGTATTTGCAGTAAGAGTAGTTTTTCCCTAGTGCAGTGCTACAGATACTGAATGCTTGCCCATGGGCAGCCACTGAACAGCATTACTAGGTCCCTTGAGCAACCCTAGGCCCACACCAGGAGTCCGCTCTGAAGCCACAGGTGAGAGAACTGTGTTGGGTTCAGAGACCAGAGGAGCCAGAATTGGAAATCAGGCCTCTAAGAGCAGCAGGCAAGTGAAAGAGCCACCTCAGGGATTGATCAGAGTCCAGCAGGGTGGGGCTGAGCACGTGGAGGTACTGGTGAGCGAGTGCTGAGCTGAGTGTGTCCATGGCCATGCGAGCTGGCATGGGTTCCTGTGGGAGGACTTCTCCACTGCTGTGTAGGAAATCAGCCAGGAGGCCGAGACCCCTATAAGTTAGCATCGGTTTCTAGTGTGAATGACATCCCGTCATATGCAGTACAGACAGCATACTGAACACCCATGTGTGGTGGCCCTGACTCCAGACACAGTGATCTCTTTGCTAGTCCTCAAACGTACACAAAATGACCAGCTTCGGGGCCTTACACAAGGCTTCGGGGCCTTGCTTTCCTGCTTCCTGGAATGCACTATCCACAGAAGGTGCACTCACTCGTTTCTTTCATGTCTCTGCTCCTGTGTCACCTTATTGGAAAGTACTTCTCTGACCACCCACTACAAAACAGGAGACCGTGGCCCTACCTCCACCATCCTCCTTACCCTGCTTTATTTTTCTCCATAGTCCGTATTACTACCTGACATTTTTTTCTTTATTAACTGTCCCCTTCTGTATGATTTATTAGGACAGAGACCTTATTTTGTCCACTGAACAAAAATTATTTCTTAAATGAATGAGTAAATAAATTTTATCTTCATATCTCAAGCACCTGACATATAATGGACAGCCTTATTATATGTATATAATATGTGACAAATTACTTTTAAATACAGTAGTAAAGTTTTGACCTCCTTCTCTTTGTTAAAATAGTAGAATCTTACACAGGTTATGTCTTACAACATCCTACCCAGAGCGGTACTCACTCCTTCTCCCACATACCTGACTCCCAGACTTTATCACAGCAAAATTGGCTGTCCTCAGAACTTCACTGAATATACTTGAACATGTTCCACTGAATGTCAGCTCTCTCAGTACAGGAAGCTTGCATGTCTCACCCAGAGCCCAGCATAGAGTGGGTGCCCAAAACCATGTTATTGAAGGAATAAATAAAAATTCATGCATTTTGAATGGCCCAGCCTGTGTGGCTAAGTTGGTTGAGCATTGTTCCTTGAACCAAAAGCTCACCGGTTCAATTCCCAGTCAGGGTATATGCCTGGGTTGTGGGTTCAGCCCCCTCATTATTGTACAGAAGGCAACCAATCAGTGTTTCTCTTTCACATTGATATTTCTTGCCCTCTTTCTCCCTCCCTTGCCCTCTCTCTAAAAATAAAATTAAAAAATTTTTCATTCATGTGTTTTGTAGAAAGACAATTTAAAATTTTCTACTTTTAATTTTCTTTGAAATTGGTGCTAATTCAGATGTAGCAATCATAAAAGTATGCATTTTACATTAATTTGTATATATGTGGCATCTCAGGATTTTACATGTCTTGTCAAGTGCCACAGGACTCCTGAGTGTCCTGAGAGGACACAGACCCTGCAGGGAGCAGAGCCAGTGACGGGTTTGGGAGAGAACCCGGCTGTCTGCGCAGCATAGCTCCCTGGCCTCCCAGCATCCATTCCCCTCTGCAGGGCATCAGCCTGGAAACACATATTTTGCCATTATTACTCTGTATTTAAAATCTTTCAGTGGCTTTCCATCTTCTACTACAGGATAAAATCCAAACTTAGCCCAGCATACAAGAGCTTGCTCAGTCCATCCTTGCTGCTGCCACCCCCAGGCCTCACCCCAAGGGCTGGCCACCAGGGTGAACCGAAGAGAACCTCTTCTTTTGCTGTGACCAAGAGTGTCCTGCTGTCATGCCTGCCTCTGCACTTGACCCTCCCCCCCAACCTCTCTCACCCACACCATCTGTGCCCAGATAGAAATTGCTGTTGCTGACAGGAACACAAGTGGTCCTTTTCTCTAATTTTTTTATAATGTATCTAAAATTCTGCTCCACCCTTCTTGTAGCGTATTTCATCTCAAATTGTGATTGTATATGCCTCTTCCCCACTCCTTTCTCTAGCATTTTGAGATGAGATGTGGCAACATTTTACTTCTCTCCATATGGTGCCAATAATAATGAAAAGAATGATGGCTTCCATTTGTGTGTCTCTTGAGGCACCATACTAGAGGCCTTCCATACCTCCTCTCAGACCTTATCAGGAACTTTGCAAGATTAGTGTGATGGGCATTTTATATGTAAACTAGAAAATGGAGGCTCAGAGAAGTAAGGGGCCCAACCAGAGCACCAAGCTCTGGCTGGAATGTCCATAACACTTCAAACCCAGGCCTGCATGTGAGCAAAATCCACTTCTGTTCCACTGCTCTGCAGCACCAACAGCTCATATTATGTTCCTCGTGAACAAAGTGCCAAACTTGCAATGTCTCCTGTATTCTTACCTTTTTTATGTCTCTAAGTATAACAGTGTTATAAATCTTAATTAAGAAAATGCTTATTTGCTATATGCAGATTCTAACACACACACATACACACACACACACACACACACACACACACACACACACACAGGATTGACCCTGTAATTTTTAAAAAGATGAGCATCAGATTTGGTCACTCAGTCCTGGTTCACTTAGGATTCAGCCCAAGGAACAAATAATTCTTGTAGTATAAATGCATACTCTCAGATTTTTCCTCCAATAGACAAACAGCATGTTTAAAGTGCCTTGAAGTCTCAGGTTTGTTTGGAATTCCTATCTGACTTTGGTAGCTCATTATAAACTGATTGATGATACTTCATTTTATTCCAAATGTGAAGAAATGCCAGTTCTTGTGCATCATTTCATGGAACTATAATAGTAAAAGCCCTGTCTATTCCCCTGGGGATATTAAAGTGGGTTGAATAGCTAGTAAAAGTAGCTGGGAATCTTAGTAGTGCTTTATTTTAAGCATAAGAACATGTCTCATTATGGAATCATTTATGACTTCCAGATGTTTTTGTCTTTTCCATTTAATGATGGTATATTTGCTAAAATAAATTTCCAGTTATTCTCAAAGAAAATCTTTGGGACAGGTAAGTGCTACTTGAGAAATCTATTTTAGCAAACACTTTTGTTTATAAGGTTATGAAAGAGGGGAGAGCGACAGTGTTTGAGTTCATAAAATATCAAGAGATCAAGGTAAAAAATTAATTTCAATGCAATTTTTAGAACATAAAATCACTTAGCTAAAATCGCCTTTGGAGGAGGGTTTTCCTATCTTAGCCTGGTGTACAGTTGCCATCAATGAACAAAACCAAGCATAGCCGAGAATTTAATACTCAGAGTAGATGAGTACACAGGAAACAAGTGCCAGTTGCATATTTGTTAGATATAAATTATGACTTGCCATCTCTTGGCTTTTAATGTAAAAAATAAAAACTAAGTCGTGCTCCTTGTGTAACTCTGGCTCATTTCCAGAGTCTGTATTTCTTACTGCTAGCTGAGATAAGATGCCAAACCTCTGTGCTGTTTAAATTTGCGCAACAATGCTTTAATACCCAGAGCTCCTCCATAAATAGTCTGTCCTCCCCGCATTCAGGGAGAAAACAACCACAGGAAATCTGGGAATGTGCAGTGAGCTCCGCTTAATTGATCTCAGTCTGCAGGGCCAGCGGGAGAGCACGCGCACCCCAGCCTCTCTGCTCCTGGCCTTGCGGGACTGTTTACCCAAGGGGCAAAGAAGTCTGCGTGCAGAGGACAGACACCATGTTGCTTCCACAGCTGTAGCAGCAGCAGGAGCGGGATGGCTGTTGTTTACAGTCTGGAGAGCCATGCTCCTTTAAGGAAACACAAACTGCCTTCCCTCATTCCTGGCCCCAATCAGTAATCATCAAGACTGTCAGCTGCATGCAGTTGTCAGGAGGAGCAGCCCTCGGAAATCATTTTCTCACAGAAGAAAAGTTAAAGGAGCGCAGATGGACTGTCGCTTCGTGCATGCAAGTGGCCAGCTACTGTCCAGGGGGCCTCAGGCTATGATTTTGATTTCTGTGCTGGGTGCATCAGCAGCTCTGGCTTTGGAGGTTTCATCTGGACAGAGTGGAATTGCTGCAGACATTTTTGGGGTTTGGTGAGCAGTAGATATTTGGGGACATTGTGCTGTTGTTGCAGAGCCCCACAATGAAGATCCAGGAGCACCCCGGCATACCTGACACCAAACTGCAGAGGACTCCAGATGCCGACGCCCAGCAGGAGAGCTTTGTCTCGGAAGTTCCGCAGCTGGACCTGACCACATTGTGCGATGAGAAAAGCTGGGCAGGTAGGCTCTTCCGACACCAGGATGATTTAATTATGGAAGCGCATATATAAATTAGCATAGACGAGAGGCATGTAAGTGCACTCATGTGTGGGGGAGAGTGACAGCTATGCTTGCAGAAGTAATTACGTTTCTAAATGACCGAAAATCCTTTCCCTGGCACAGCGATGTGTCATGTTAAGTGCTGCCAAGAGTAATTGCAGTCTGAGAAAGAAAATGTGCTTGCCCTTTATCATATTGTCACCTTGCAGTCCCTTTTTTTCTTTGTAATTCACCAGGACTGCTGCTGTGTGTACGCATTTTCTCTCTAGCAGCACCAAGCAGGCTCTTAAGGAACTCCTGTGCATTCAGGATTCCATCTCAGTATAACCGATGGCCCCCACACTACACACTGGCCGTTGACCTTCTTCATTAAATCTCCCTCCCATTTTTCAAGGCTATTTTGGTTTGCTTTGCTTCTGTTTTTATGGATAGGCTTTTTAAAATGCAGGTTAGCAAACATAAGGGATTTGCTTATTAAAGAGAAGACTGAATAAAATGCTTCTAATTGAATGCCTGTGATATGGTGTTTTAGATTGGTTTTTCTAGAGATTTTCAGTGAAAACACTAGAAATATACTTGTAAGGAAGAAGAGGGTATCCTAATCATGTCAAAGCCATATTTTGGGAAGGGCGCTGGAACAGTTTCATCGAGCTGCTATTCTTTCACTATCCATGTGTCCGCATCCAAACACATGTCAGTGTGTATCCAAAATAAACGCCCATCTGCCCCTCTGCAGCGTGTGTTTGATGGCTGCAGAGAGGGAGGAATCATGCTCCTGAGTTCAGAGCAGCAGCGTGCTTAACACAATGACTTAGCAGAGAGTCACGACTATGAAAAAGCAGTCTTCTTCAAAAGTGCCTGGATTTCCTTGTTTTCTCTCCTCCCCTCCGTTTTTTAAACAAAAAGTGCTCATTATGGTAATGATCTTAGATGAGGAACTAAAAGATGATCTAAAAAGACCACAAGGTGAAAAACAGCAATTCCTGGCACCCAGGGCTTAGTGAAGGGAAAGCTGTTTTTTATTCCAGTTTTTCCTCTTTTCAATCAAAGCTTCATGTTCTAGTTCTTCTCATGTACTTAGACAATGGGGCTGAGGTTTTGTCAGATCTTCCCAGATCATGATAGACTCACTGAGTGTGTGTGTGTGTGTGGGGGGAGGGGGGGGGCGGGGGTGGAATGAAGGGTTTTTTGTTGTTTGTTTTGTTTTTAATTAATACATTGCTGGTAGTGATCTGTTGTTCTTCTTTTGTGTGGTTTGAAATAATCAAATCTGTTTTTAATTCATACATTATAAACATCACCTCCCCTCAGAAATATAGCACCATAGTATGCACTGTCCCCCAAATAAAAGGAAAAACCAGGAGTCAAAACAAATGCTGTGTTTGGGTTTCAAAAGTATGGTCTCCTTGCAATGTGTGAGCTAACATGAAGCTCTAGATAAAAAGTAGGATTTTAGTCAGAATTCAAATTAGCTCCATTATCTTGATTATTTAGTCACTATAAAAGGAATGTAGATTCTTCTTCTTCCTTCTAAAATTAACTGATTACTTTTATCTTGTTTAATTAAAAATTTATAATCTTTGTCAAAACAGTTAAAAAGGCAATTTTATACAGCTGAAAATTTTCTCCAGAGTGGTTGAAAGTTAACTTACAATTTTGTTAAAACCATTTAATTACTTAGTATAAAGAACTTTCTGCCAGATAAATAATAGTAACATGAGAGCACCAACATTTTATTTTGTATTGGGAAACTAAATGGAATAAAGAAAAACCTTATTGGGGAAAAATACATTTCAATAGATTTGTGAATGTAAATTGTGTTATCCATGTAATTTATGAAACGACATGCTTTAATGTGTTTTTTTACCAATTACTACATTTGCCATTGAACTTACATATCTTAAAAACCTACATAGATTCATTTCAAGGTTATTATGATCATTTGGTTACTGCTCTCAGTGGCCATTTTTTATCATGTATTTATTTTAAATTCCAAATTACATTATAGCAGTAACATAGCTGTAAGTATAGTCACAATAAAGAAATTTTTGCATGAAGTGTAGTTAAGTGAGAGCAATAAATCCAATCACTAAAACATCATTTTTTTTTTATAGCTTCAGTGAGAAACAAACAAAATGTGACTTTCCAATAAGGAGTACACTTTGCACCAATTTAAACCATGAATGTGAAATCAGTGCAACAGATGTATAAATGGAAGTAACAGCTATGAGAACCATGCAAACCAACATTCACCTGTAAGGCCCCACCACCAGTCTCCAAGCCATCCTTGGAGTGACCCCTCTTCTTGGTTTGCTTGTTTGTTTCCTGTCCCCACATCATAATTCACAGCCCTCATTCCTGAGGATTGTAGAGTATCGGGGGAGACAGGCTCCCTGGGCACCCGCTGGCGCCAGCCATGTGCTGTGCGCTCCCGTGTGGAGCTGGCGTGCTCTGGTTTCTAGAGCATGTTGTACCAGGGAAACAGAAAGTGAAGAAATTAATGAGTAGCTTCCATAGGCTACCTAGGGTGGGACCCTGTCAAAGTGGATGTAGGATTTGAGTCTAATCAGGCTTGTTGACAATGAATAACACACACCTACCCCACAGATAGCTCTGTATTAGGGCACGTTATTTGACTGCCCACATAACATCATCATCGTCACTACCATCATCACTATTGTTATTTCCACTCTCCAGAGTTAAAAAAATAAATCACATATACTATCCTTTATTTAAAGCCCATCAAAGTTGTATAATTGGAATGTTCCTAATCAACCAATTTGTGTGGATTTGGGGGAATCCGTTTGTGGAAGAACTGAGACCTAAACAGTAAGCCACTCTGTTAGATTTGTCCTGGTAAAATTAATTTTAAAAGAACGTTTTTTAGGCCCTGGCTGGGTAGCTCAGTTGGTTAGAGCATCATCCTGATATACCAAGTTTGCAGGTTCGATCCCTGGTCCGGGTACATACAAGTATCAACCAATGAATTCATAAATAAGTAGAACAACAAATCGGTGTTTTTTAGTGTTTCTTTCTCTCCTCTCCCCTCTCTTTCATATCAATAAATTTAAAAAGGAACATTTTTAAGGGCATAAAACACTCTATATATCTTATTCATCATGTCCTGCTTATTGAAAGCAACTTTGGAAAGAAAATTCTCTAAAAGAATGATAGAGAAGAAGCAAGGAATCTTAAAGATCTTCCAATTAAAACTTCCCATTATACAGATAAGAAAACAGAGACCAAAAGAGGCAAAATAATGATTCAAGATAACAAAGTCTCCCAATTTCTCTCTGGATGCCTCTTTCTAAGCAGTGCCAGTTAGGTATCCTGGCAGGCAGTGGACAATTAAGGTCAAGAGCCCCAAACTCATCCTGGGTTCAAATCCTGGCTCCACTACTTAACCAACATTGTTAGTAAACATGTCTCAGTTTTGGCCTCAACTTACCATCTTTAAATAGGCATACAGTCAATAATAATAAATAATAGATATAGTGGTATCTACTAAGTAAGTTTGTTGCAAGGATTAAATGAACTAATATATGCAAAGTGCTCAGCACAATGCAGGCACATAGAAATCACTGCGTAAATGTTAGTTGATGTTATTACTGTCTTCCATAAATGTTTCCAAGTATAGTTCTAGGAAAAACAGCCCAAGTTTGCCCCCTTGGAAACTAGAGCCCATTTCTACGTAATGACCATGGATGGCTCTGAGCACGGCCATCAGTAATTACTAGGTCGGTCCCCCACAGATTCAACAAGGACTAATCATTCTCTCTCTCTCTCTCTCTCTCTCTCTCTCTCTCTCTCTCTCTCTCTCTCTTCCTCTCTTCCTCCCTCTCTCCCTCCCTTTGTGTGTGTCTCTCTCTCTCTCTCTCTCTCTCTCTCTCTCTCTCTCTCTCTCTCTCTTTCTCTCTCTCTCCCCCTCTCTCCCCCCCCCACCTCCTTCCTTTCTTCCTTTCTTCCTCTCTTCCCCACTCTGGGCTAGGGAAGCGGGGACTGGTGACAGCCTTGTCAGGGATGTAGAAGGGATGCGAGACAGGCAGGGAGAACAGAGAATGAGTAGCTGGTGAAGCAGCTCTATTTAAATGACGCATGGGCATTAGTCACGTGCAGATGGATGAGTCAAAGCCAGTAAGTCCTCAGCCCTGTTATGGCTCACACATTTATTAATTACTTAAATGAGGCTATTGTGGGCCTGCTAACTAAATTGGTAAATAGGGGTAATGCAGATATATGAAAATGAAGGGTTAAATGTGGATTGATAAAGTTGACAAGGTTCTTTCTAACTCTGACAGTGTGCAAGACTATTTGAACAATTTAATAGGACTACCAATGTTCTAAGAGTGAATTTTGGAACACCAAAAAACACCGTTATGACAGTGTCCCCCAGTAAAGACCTCCACACACGGGCTGCCGTCTCCGTCTGTCTGGGCTGTGCAGCAGCTTCGAGCACTTGAACCCAGTATGGTGACATTAAGTAGTGATGACACTAAGTGACATGGAGTTGGAAATTAGATGTGGAAATCCTCAGCTCCCTTAATTCTGTGCAGATTTAGTAGAAATAAGTCATCTCAGTAGCCAGTTTTCTTTAGTAAAGGGAATGGATCCATCCTGCTGAGCTGTCAGTAGCTGTGTCCCAGTGACGCGTCGGCATTAGTCACAGCTCTGTCCCCTCTTTTGCCGTGAACTCCCTTTATTTCCATGTGCACTGCACTGTCTGAACTGGAATTCCCCCAAGATCTACTCTTTTTTTATTACTCAGGTAGCAAGCATGCAGCCTTTACCTCTGTCATCTCTGACCTGCTATGATGTCAGCTGACCTGGGCAGATTAATTTTTAATAGAGAGACGTGCCATACTTATATGCAGAGCTCTCTGAGACAAGACACACGGCTAAAATCAAAATCATTGCAGCCAGGGAATTCTGGTCTAGATATGAAGACACGTTTATTTTATGTGGTTCTTTATGAGGAAAACACAATTTTAAGCCTCAAATCTTTTCTATTTTCTCTTGAAAAAAATTTCTGACAATATCCTTGTCTGTTTTGTTTCTCTAGAATTACTGGTTAAAATATAAAGTGTTTCTCAAACCAGTAACTGGGAATTGTCAGTAAATACATCCTCAGAACTGGCTGTCGCTGGCTGTGCGATTGCGCACAGCATCGTGCACCACGCTGTTCTCTTGCTTCTTTCTCGTCTTTGTATTTGAGAGCCAACTATCAAAACACGAGACGGCCTTATATTTTTAGATCATTTCAAAGTAAAACAGGAACAATTGGTTTTATTGATTGTTCAGTCATATTGAACTATGCATTACCTGTAATTTTGTAACTCTTTTGAATGGGAGCTTTAAGCTGTAAGACTGTATAGAGTAAAAGCAAACAGAGAAGAAGGAGAAATCATATAAGCCTTTCATGTTGCATAGGTCAGAACTTCACCTATGTTCTACATGAAGATACGTAATAAAACATGCCTTTTTATTTTGTTAAAATTGAAATACTTGATGGTTTCCCATTTCTCATTTTTTTAAGATTTTATTTATTTATTTTTAGAGAGGGAAGGGAGAAAGAAAGAGAGACAGAAACATCAATGTGTGGTTGCTGAGGGCCGTGGCCTGCAACCCAGGCATGTGCCCTGGCTGGGAATTGAACCTTTCTCATGTTTTAAATAAGTAAATTTATCCATGCTAACTATATGCTGTGAGAGAAAATGTCACCCATAAGCTAGAACTCCTCTAACTGCCCGTTTCACACACACCACTGTGGCATTGGAAAGTGACACATTTGAGGTTTTTGTCAGTGAAGTGGTCGGTGGACAGCGGAGCCACCAAACACAGCCGTGCTAACCAAAGGAGTAAGATGCGAGGTCCTATGGGAGCCACAAAGCATCAAACAGCCATGATTACATTCTGCGATTAGTATTTTATGGTTAATTCAGGATCACAATATATCTTTTATGGGAGACGTGTTTGGTGAATAGTCACACGCACTTGTCTTATAAACAGACGGCACGGTAGAAAAACTCAAAGATTAGTTGTGACATTTTTAAAGAGATCCTATGCTAGATTTGGACAATTTAAAGGGCTTCAGGGTCTTAGCGTTTTCAAATTAAGTTTTGCTGAGCAGAAATGTCAAACTAGCCAGCACACCCTCATGCCAATGTCAACACCATACTTTGTTTGTCGCTGCTCGCTGTCCCGATAAGCCACCCTGCCCTCTCCCCGGGCATTCTGCTCCTTTGCCCCTCTGAAGGGAGGTTATTGCCTGCTGCATTTCTGTTCAAACCACCTTAACCCTTTCACTGTCTCAGCTCCATTAACTTTAGTCCTCATGGAAAATTACTGCTGTTTTATGAAATATGAAATAAAAGATGCAGTCTGGTGCTTAATAGTTCCATTTACTGCAGCTTAACACTACATCTTGACCATTTTTTTAGGGATTACTTTCCACTCTCCCTCTCCTCCCCTCCCTTTGCCATCCATTTTTGACCCTTAGGTCGGCAGTTCTGAGCCTCTCCTCTCTGAGCCCTGACTCTGAGGAGGGGCTGACTCTGAGGAGGGGCCAGCAGATAGCTTTATACAAACGATGAAACAACTCCTCTGTGTGCATCTCCAGGTGCAGCCAAATTGATGTACCAAAACTTTCTCTGCCACTTTTTGAGACTCAGTAGGCAAGTCTGTCTTCAACTCTACTTTCATTGTTTTCAAAATATTTATATTATCATCTGTGTTCCCAGATAACTTGAGTCTCTTTTAATCTTGAGAACCTATGGACCTCATTCCACATGAGGTTAATTTTTTTTCATTAATGTGCTTATCTCTCTTGCTACACAGTGGGGTCTTCAAAAATTTCAGACAGTCATTCTTGTTATTGAAGCACCTGGCACATTCTAAATTAAAGCACTGTCCTGGAGTCAGGAGATTTAGTTTCTAGTCCCAGCTGTTGTCATTGATTAGGTATTTGCTCTGGGTTTCAGTTTCCTTATCTGTAATCTGTTGAGTTGAATCAATGGTTTTCAAAACTGGTTGCATTTAATATCACTGGTACAGCTGGTGTGTGTGTGTGTGTGTGTGTTTATATCTGTGCCCTCATCTAAAAACCCTGTGTGGTTGGCGGGGTGAGGACCTGTACAGCAGGAGCTGCTTATATGCCCCTGTGGGACTCCGATGTGCAGCCAGGCTGAACAATCACTAGATTAGATGTTGTATGCAGTTTCAACCGGCTCTAATATTCTATGATTATAGCATGATCTTTTTAAATACTGAGTAAGCACTTGTTTAAGATCATTTTGTAGATTTTATGAATACTTTGATAGCTGAAGGAGCAACTGTTTCATGATTCAAACTGTGGGAATCTCAGAATTTAAAATCATGGCCAAATCCTAGTCTTGTGTAAATCATAGTAATCCACAAATGTATTGAAAGTGTAACTAATGTACAGAATATTAGAAATGAAGTGCCCTACATCATCTGAGATCTAGCTTTAAAATGTTGGATGGGATTTTTTTAAATAAGGAAAGGAATATACTGAAGTGGGTCTTGCAGGAAAGAGAAATAAATATCACCCTATTCTTCCCCAAAATCACACATCAGGATTTTGTGCTCAGTATTTTTTTTTCTTAAAGAGTATCTGAGATAATTTATACAGATCTGTCCTCTGTAAGATGTTCTTTTCTCTTTTTGACTAATTTATATATGCATCTTACTTTAACTGTACTCTTGAGCAGCTTCTAAACTTTCAGCTGCAAAACATGCATCTCAAACATGCTCATCCCAACGCACTAAGCTGAAGCTCACAAAACAGCCTACTAAACCTCAACAGAAGGTGCAGCCTCACACATAATTAATGCAATGCCTTCGCTGGAGTTCTGTACATTAATGAATGGATAGCTGGGATGCTGAGTCTCTCCCTGCCTGACACATTGGCATTTCTTTTGCATAATGCCTTCAAGTGGACAAGTTCTTGTCCGTGATCAGCAGTGGGGAGTTGGAAACCTACACTGTTGGCATGCCTCCTTCAATGCTGTTCCTCAGGGCAGCCCTAGGAAATTCTCTTTTGAAAGCAAGTGAGGATGGAGATAGAAGGTACATGATAACAGCCAGATAATTTGGAGATTCTGGTTGGGGTATACTGTCCCTAATTTGAATCTTAAAACTAAAATGAGAAACCACTGGGGGCCTCCTAAATTCAGTGTCTCCTAATACTTTCAGAAAACTTGGCAAACAATTATGCTTTAAAGAACAGTGCTGCCCTGGTTGGCATAGCTCAGTGGATTGAGCGTGGGCTGCGAACCAAAGTATCGCAGGTTTGGTTCCCAGTCAGGGCACATGCCTGGGTTGCAGGCCACAGCCCCCAGCAACTGCACATTGATATTTCTCTCTCTCTCTCTCTTTCTCCCTCCCTTCTCTCTCTAAAAATAAATAAATAAATAAAATCTTTAAAAACAAACAAAAAAAAACAGGCTGACCTCTTACCCTCATTATTTTCCAGAGCCCACGCCTGCTTTGTCCTCATGGCAGCAGGAGAACATGGACTCTGATGAAGCACGCCTCTCCCCGCAGGCCGGGCGCCTCATCCGCCAGCTTCTGGATGAAGACAGCGACCCCATGCTCTCTCCTCGGTTCTACGCTTACGGGCAGAGTAGGCAATACCTGGATGACACGGAAGTGCCTCCTTCTCCCCCCAATTCCCATTCTTTCATGAGGTGCGTTTGTGTTTGTTCCTGATAAGCATATCCATCATCTTTAAGATGGTATTGCTGATGGACAGTAATTTTTCTTAATTAAGTTGTGAGCCTGTGATGGAACATATTTGAAGTTCTCACTCCTAGGACACAGGCTCCATTGTAGTTTTTCAGCTGAACTGTGGCCCAGCTGCAGTATCACATACTAAAGTTCCATTTGCACCTCCTCTCCAAAGCTCTCTCAAATTTAACTTTGAAGTCAACAGCAGACATTTCAGTCCTAACTTTGTGAATTATAAGTGTGAACTACAGAAGATCAGACCTATTTAACTGCTGGGACAGAGAGAGCTGAAATCACAAAATCAATTGGTAGTCAAATGTCTTTTATCCAAGAGCATGGAGACCAACTGCACCCTCCCCCTCCATCCTCATCGCTTCTGCTGCCTTCTGGAGAAGCTGATTCTAGTGTGTCCCTCACAGGCGACGGAGCTCCTCCCTGGGGTCCTACGATGATGAGCATGAGGATCTGACACCTGCCCAACTCACGCGAAGGATTCAGAGCCTTAAAAAGAAGATCCGAAAATTTGAAGACAGGTTTGAAGAAGAGAGGAAGTACAGAGTAAGTGCCTCCTCACAGGGTTCTCTTCATCCCCTCCTCTCCCATATTAGCAACTGAGAGAAGTGCTCAAGGTCACGGGACATTTCCGGGAGTCTCAAAGCGGAAAGGCAGTAAAAACTGAGTAGTGAATGGTGATAAACCCCAAACTTCATATATCAGCATTTCCCTGGAATAAGTATATTCTTACAAGTAAATTGAACACTTTGTTGTGCGTTTCATAAATGTATCAGTGAGCCAGAATGGGAAAATCATTAAATGAGGTCTTTTGTTTGGCTACAACTTAATTCACCATTATCTTCTAAAATTTCATTAGTATTGACCTCATTCTACTCTCAGCTCTATCCTTAGTATTTCCTACAAGAATGGCAAAGAGGCCTTTTTCAAGGTGGTTCTGGTGTAAAATGTCATATACCCCTCTGCTGTGTATTCTGTTAGCCTGACAGCTTGAACACTACAAATAATGGGAATGGGGCCATCCATGGACCTCATACAAGTCTCTGACCATAAAAAAACCAGCATTCTGCCTCTGAGGAATTCTTTAAAAACATCAGAAATAACCAGATGAAAAGAAGGATAATGGAATTAAACTAGTGAAGTTTATCCTGATTGGTCATGGTTGATTTCTTATTCCAATAGCATTCAACATTTCTTGCCTGTTTAAAACAAACTGAGCATCAGACGCTCCTTCTTCCTGCCCCAATACCAAAAATTTACCTTACTTTTCCTTTTCTCAGCCCTCCCACAGCGACAAGGCCGCCAATCCGGAGGTTCTGAAATGGACAAATGACCTTGCCAAATTCCGGAAGCAACTAAAAGGTAGGTAAAGCTCTAGACCTGTGGCATGGTTTCTATAAAACTAGCCAGGTGCAGAATCCTTGGTCTCGCTTCACACCAAGTGCCACTGCTAAAACACTCCAGACAAGACCAGTTCCTTAAGGCTGCTTCCCAGTGCTCTGAGCATTCAAGGGATACCTCCTCTGTGTCTTCCTGTGGGCCCAATCACAGGGTCACCCAGCTTAGCTAAGATGCAAATTCTGTAGCATTTTTTCATTTCCCTAAATTGATAATATAAGGATGATGGTTTCAAGTCAATACTCATTAAGTATCTGTTTAATCCAAGACCCTATTTCCTGTGGTGTGAGAAGACACAGAGACATAAAGATGAGTATGAAAAGGATTTGGTCCCTGTACCTCAAAGAGTTTGCTGAATTTTAGGAGATAGAGTCATTTAAACAACTAAATTGAATACAAGTAAAAATAATTCCAAAATGAGGTATACAAGTCACACAGAAAAGGTTGGCCAGCAGTTGGGTGCTAGATTGATAAATAGCTTTAAACACCGAGAGAACAAGTGTAGGAACACATGCGCCACATTCTGAACAGGTTGGTGTGGCTAAAGTATGGGTGTTAAATAACTAAAGCTTTCTCAGGAATGAGCATTAGGGGCAACTGTCCAGATAATCCAGGAAGACATTATAATTTTCTCAGGTTTCATATAATAACCCAGGGATTTCAACTAATGTTATAATTAGACACTTGCTGAAAAATAAGAAAGATGGGGCTAAGTAGTTATTAACATCATAGGAAAACAATTTGGGTTCTGCAGACGTCAATTCTCATATATCTCCGCCCCCAAATCTTTCTGAGTAGAGTCCAAACTAAAGATATCTGAAGAGGACCTAACCCCCAGGATGCGGCAGCGAAGCAACACACTCCCCAAGAGTTTCGGTTCCCAACTTGAGAAAGAAGATGAGAAGAAGCAAGAGGTGGTAGACAAAGCGATAAAGCCCAGCGTTGAAGCCACCCTGGAATCTATCCAGAGGAAGCTCCAGGAGAAGCGGGCAGAAACCAGCCGACCTGAGGACATTAAGGTGTGGTGACTGGGTGAAGGCCCCAAGCTAACTGCTAACCCCAAACCATTCCGGTTAGCATGGTAGATACATAAGACGTGCCACATGGACTCCAGTGGGAAGAGTGATGGAGTAACACCTTTGAAAACCTCCCCCACCCTCATCTTCCACACTGTTAGATGTCTAGAGACACAGATCAAACAACTTCAGAGGGTTTGAACTGTAGCTACTTTGATTTTGGACTTAAAATTAAAAGCAGAAAGCTCTTGTACAGATTGCAGAGTGAACTTGTTTAGCTTAATCACAGTTTGGTGACTGTCTGAGGTAGAAGAATCATTGGGGGCATTTGAGGCAATTTGTTATTCAGCAAACCTTTGGGACCGTGTAACCTGTAACTGTAGCTATCGCTTGGGCCATTAAGTTAAGCCTCACGTGTCTCACAGCCTGGCTTACCTCAGCACTCAACATGCCTTTGCCGCCTCGAGAAAGTGGATGGGGATTCTGCTGTGCTTTGCATACAGTTAGCAGGAGCTGTTGTGTGAGGATTCTTTTTAATCTTACTTTTTTGTTATTGAACTAAAAAAAAACAAAACAAGAAGTTGGAATGTTCACAAATGTTTCCCCTTTTCATTTCTCTCTCCTTGTGTTTACATAGGACATGACCAAGGACCAGATTGCAAATGAGAAGGTGGCACTGCAGAAAGCTCTATTATATTATGAAAGCATTCATGGACGGCCGGTATGGGAATGTACTGAATTTTCTTTCTGATTGGGGTAGATCATCTGGCTTTAGAAATGGGTCTTCTGTGTTCAGGATTTTGCAAATAAGATTCCTTGATGCTTAGCAGATTATTATGTTCTCACCGAAACTAAGCTTTCTGAAGGTTAAACCTGTGATAAGAGTTTCACCACCTAGTAGAAACTGAATTTGAGTTCCAAACAAAAGTTAGCTTAGGCCTAAAATGTAGTCACTAGTGTCCTGCTTCAAGGGGAGAATGCTGGTGGGAGTATGAATTGGTGCACGGAGCCCGAGAGCAAGGAGACTCCCCTGTCCCTAGGTCTGCCTCCACAAGTGGACACTGGCTCCTGGCATTCTTCTCCCTAAAATAAATATGCTTAACCAGAATAACCTGCTGTGAAACTCAGGCTCTCTGCAGTGCAGTTGCAACCAGTGTTTCTCCATGGAGAAGTTCCAGCTGCCACCCAGAACCAAAAGTGTGAGGAATCCAAAATATGGCTCTGCCTTTTCATAACAAGGAGCATTTGAGGCAATTTGTTATTCAGCAAGTGTTTATTGAATGTTTATTGTTAGTTTGGGGGAAAAAGGTAGCATGTTAGGCTTCTCTCTTCCCTAAGGAACTTATAATCAAATATCCATGTCAGTAACCTGTTCGGAATATTGTCAAGAACCCAATAAAACAAACTTTTAAGAGCAGGTATACAGAAGCATGAAGTTTATGTTCACAAAAGAGTTTTTTATATAGCAAAAAAAAAAAACAACCAAACATGCATTTCTTTTCTAGTTTCAGCATAGCTATATAATGGAGATAGTCTTTTCATCTAAAATGGGCTATTTTAAATAAAGAAGCTTCTAGAATAATGCACTAGGTCTGTGAGGGCAGGGATTCTGGGTTTTGTGAACCTAATCCTCAGCAAGTAGCATAAGACCTAACCCAGCATATGCCTAACAAACTATCTGTAGCATGCCTCTTCCATGGTATTTTGGTTCTGAATTTATCAGGGTTAAGTTTAAAGAAGAAGAAGCTAGGGCTGATGATGATTGATTTTGCTGGCCTGTCTCTGCTGTGGAAAAATACTGTTGCTTTGGGATATTGGTCGTGTTTCAAGCCAAGTTTTTTTTTTTTCCAAACCAAGTTTTGTTTTGGATTTTTAAAGGCATTGAACCAAATGGTGAATGCACTGGAACTCACATATATTGTGAAACTTTGTCCTTCTGTACTGGAGTTTTCATAACTTGTACAGTTCAAGCTGAACTTCTAACAGTAAGTTCAGAGCCTTTAAGTATTTCCTCACGGACATGGCCACCAGATGGTCTGAGGGAAGGGGGTGGGACTTGTGTGGGTTTTCCTTATTTTCATTGTATGGATTCAAGTTGTGACATTGATAGACTCCTTCAAAGACTTCCTCGCCCGAGGCTCCAAGATCTCAGCTGTGTTCTAGACTTAACCCAAAGCCGCCCGTTCAGGGAGTTACGGGCCATGGTATTTGCTGCTCTGAGTTGGGCATAGACTCTCATTCTGCCTGGGGCCTGGTAACGTGCGGGCACGAGGATCAATTAGACTCAGAACCCAGCTCTGCTGAGACTAGCCCTGTGACTTTGGGCTGCTTAGGCAACTCCTCATGGCCTCCAGGCTTTGCCTGTATAAAACATGTCTGTTACAGGTTGTCTTGGATTCTAAGTGACATTACAGACACACAGACATCTATCTGCACAGTGTCTGACACTTGAGGAAGTTGGGCATAGTGTTTCTGCTGGGAGCAGAAGGAATTGCCGCATAAAGGATAGTTGTCACTTCTGTTACAATTACATGTTCTGCTCACTGTAGCCTATTTCTTAAGTGATTGGGTCAGGAGAAAGAATACACATTTTCAGCACTCTTATAATTAGGAATATGAAATTTTAGTTTTTGGCCCTATCTTTCTATTATCCCTTCTTCATCATTCTTTCTGGTGAAGGAAGAACACATTTTTGGGTCAGATTCTAGCATCTCATGGGTCAGGGAACAAATGCTCTGGGAAGTTTGAACGTCATTTACTCCTGGTCCCGGGTCAGGCTGTCTGCCTCTCTCTGGAACATGATGCTCCAGCCTCAGAAAAAGCAGAGTCCATTTGATATCTGGCCAGTCTGAAAATCAGAGTGAACATTTCATCCTCAGATTCATGGTGTTGCCATGGACCCTGGACTGTAAATAACATTTGGGTAACACTCTTCTTAAAAGAAAAATACACGTACTTCCAGCACTAAACTATCATTCCAAACCCCAGGTATTTTAGAAAAACAGGTGCTCGTAGTTAATGAATTTTTGCTGAGTCTGCAGATTCTGATTTAAAAGGACGCTACCTTCAAATCACCGGCCTAAACAATTATCTGCCAATTCAGTACATTTTTAAAGAAGGTTGTTTGCTTTAATGAGGCAGTGTACCAACAGACTGACATTTATAAAAACAAACAAAAAAACACCCATTTACACACTGGCACATATTCCCTACTAATTATTGTTAAAGTGTGTCCTTTTCAACATGCGAGAATCCCATCAGAAGACGGCATCACAGGCCAGCACGGCAGATGGCTGCAGCACCTGTGCTGCCTCCTCGTCGGCCACTGCTGGGCGGCAGTGCAGGGGAGGGGACTGGTTGCTTGCTCAGAGCTTCTGTGTTGAGTCTGTTCCTCGCTGGTATATTTTAATCTTATGTTTTAAAACCTTGGGGATTAACATGATACTAAACCAACCATGTTCAAATTTAAATGTGAATTCTAAAGCCATGTATACATACTCTCCTCTGGTTAGCTGCTGTTTTGGGTTATCTAATCTTTGCACCGTCAGCCTACTATCCTTACCTGCTAATGAAGAGGAGAGACTTGCCATCTTCCAAACCATGGGCCAAGAATGCAACAGTTATAAGAATCTATCTCATCTGTCTTCTCCTGCCAGGAGTTTTATGACTCAGAAGTACCCATCCACTCTTTCAAAGGCCTATTCTTAGTGAGTAGCAGAATCCCTGATGACTGATGGCTTGCGAGTAAGAGTGTCAGCCTCCAGACAGTTTCCCCATGGTATGCACAGCATCAACCCGCCCTTTTGTGACAGCTGAGCCACGGCCCTGCTTTGTTTATGTGACTGTTGGTTAGCCTTTGGCTCTGCTTGGAGACCCAGCGCTGACCACTGCAGGTGGGAGAACCTGTATTAACTTGTAGTATGAACAACCCTTTGGCTTCAGATATATATTTTGAAGGTAATTCTGATATAATTTCAAGTAGTATTAATACATTCCACATCTCAAATGTAAAGATCTTTGATATTTTTGGTGTTTAGATACTTTCATCAAAGGCCATTGTTAACTTTGGTGGAGTCATGATGAGTTTCAACTCTCCTAGTTAAAAACTGAATTAGATCATTTGCAGGTGATTAATTCCTGTGGGTCATTAATTTAAAACGAGCAATTCACAGATCATTTAAACTTCAATGTCTTGAGCCAAAGAGTTCAGCCAGTGACCCTCTTCATCTACTCCACCTAGAAATTTTGGGTTTTTGAACAAAACTTTAGAAAGGAGATTGGTTTCTGACAAATTTGCCATATCTGGCTGATTTTACCAGCCAAGTCTTCTATAAGCCAAAGATGTTTCTGCTAGCAACTAGTAATAGGGGGCTGGTCCCCAATGGGAAAATGCAGTCTCCTTCTCTTTTTTCTTTTATTTTTAGTATGTCTTCTGGCCAGTAAACCATCTCTTGTTCATCTTGCACATTAGGTCACACCACATGTCACATGCTGGCAATTAAGACGTGCTTTAACCTTATCTGCAGCACATGTAGTGGACACGTCTTATTTTGAAAAGGCAGTTCCAGGTGGTGCAGTCCAAAATTCTGTCACCTTACATGTGAAATGGTACTAGTCACTCCATTTCTGTTCTTCAGACTTACTTGTGAATGTTATTTTACTGTCCTTGAGGAATAGCATAAATTCAGAATAAAGCCCAGATTATATGTCTTGATGAATTCTCATGAAGTAAACAAATTCAGGTAACCAGCACCCAGATCAAAAAACAAAGTGTTACCACCCATCCCCCGGAACATCCCTCGTGTCCCCTTCCCATCCAGAGCAGCACCTCCCGCCCCACCAAGGGAAGCCATTGTCTTGACTTCTAACACTGTAGATTGGATTTACTTATTTTTGAACTTTGTATAAGTGCGATCTTACAAATATGTATTCTTTGGCATCTGGTTTATTTTACTCAGCTTTATTTTTGTTAGAGTATATAGATGTTGCATATAGTTGTGGCTCCTTCATTCACACTGCTGTGTGGTATTCAATTTTGGGAATATACTTTATCCATTCTCCATGTGGATGGTTTCCAGTTTGGGGTTACAAATAAATAGTGGTACTGTGAACATTCTTATATGTCTTTTGGTGAACCTCCATATTGGTTTGGTGTGTACTTAGAATGGAATTGGGTCGTATGTGCAGCTTCAGTACATGCTCCTCATAGCTTCCCAAGGGCTTCGTGCTCTGCAGCAGTGAGCATGCCGGTGTCCAGCGGTCGCTGGTGCCCGCCACTGTCTCTCCACTTCAGCCATTGCCATGGGTGTATAGCAGTAACACCTGTCATTTGATCTTCAGGGTTTCTTAATATAAAATAATTGCCAAATTTCCTTCTACTTTTGACAGTCATTTTTAAATGAAATGGTGATTTTAAAACTCCTTTTGGTATGATAGAAGCAGGAAAAATACCATCTTCCACTTAACACTGTGATAACAGGAAGAGATAGAGATAATTGATTGTTATTATTGCTGATGGTACAAAATAAATCCATAAAATATTATTGCATACTGACAGGATCCTATACTAGCTTGTGAAGTTTATCCCAAGTTCATTTATTGTTGTTCACTTTGAGAAAGGCACATAAGAAAGGCAACAAAGGATAATTCACTTATGCATAATCCAAAGTTGCTTCAAAGCTGAAGGCCCAAAAGGCCAGAAAAAGAAATGGTCAGGGCCAATACTGCTCGCCCCTCCTTACCTCTGCAACTCTTGCCTCATTACGTGTGCGATGGAAGAGCAACAGTCTTGTAACAGATGCTCCATCTCATTCACCATTCGAGTAAGCAGGGGGAATGCATGCATAGTTATGAATTGCGCATATTAGTTATATTTGAAATATTTGGTCACTCATTTTGCAGAAATTTATGGAATATTCTTTTTATGTCAGCTACTGAAATAGTTGCCAGGGACACCAAAGCATGAACTCCTGTTTTCAAGGGGCATATAGTCTGAACAGGAGACAGATATGTCAACAAATAGTTTAACTAAAGAGTATAAAAATGTATCATCCATTGGAACTTCTACTATGACAAAATACCATAGAACTGGGTGGCTCATACACAACAAAAATTTGTTTCTCAGAGTTTTGGAGGCTGGGAAGTCCACGGTCAAAGTGCCAGCTGACTCGCTGTCTGTGAACAGATCTGGTATCTGGGCCCCTTCCAGTGCACAGACAGCTGTGGCCTTGCTGTCCTCGCATGGCAGAAGGGGCTAGGGAGCAACAGGAGTATTATAAAAGCACTAACCCCATTCATGGGATCCCACCCTCATGATCTAATCACCTCTCAAAAGCCCCACCTCCCAAGACTATTACGTCAGGAATTAGGTTTCAACATAAGACTTTCAGGTGACACAAACATTCAGTCTATGGCAAGCGTGTATAAAATTACAAGCTATACAGTCAGTGACCCAAAGGAGAGAACGAGCAGGTCTTCCACAATGGGAGATGCTGGGAAAAGGCTGAAGAGAGAGTGGCTCTTTATCTGGAATTTGCCAAACCAGAGCCATTCCAGGGCAGAAGGAACTAGACAAGGACATACGAGACAACCTAGTCTGTCTCTGGAGCTTGAGGTGTGATGGAGAGGAGGAGAAGCAGCAGATGATGAGAACTTTAAATACCATGTCAAATGCTCTACCAGGGAGTTGGGCTTGATTCCTCCCCACTGCCCAAAGACTCAGTCACTTAAACACATTTAGTGTTGTGCCGGTTTTAGGTATACAGAAATGAATCATTCCAATATATTAAATCAGCAGATGTTCCTTGAACACCTACTGTTTGCTAGAATCATGCCCTTAAGAACAAATCAATTCATGGAGGAGACAGCCGTGTAAACATATTTATTTTACAAAACTGCATGATAAGTATTATACTAGAAATGCATGCTTTCTTCTTCCCTGCACTTAGAAATAGTCGATTATCTGGGAACTATGAACCTCAAGGGGTTTTAGACAGGGAACTAGTAATGATCATAGTTTTGATTTAGGAAATTCAATACTGTTAGTGGAGTGATGTCCAGAGTGAGCTACAGCTGAAGTAGATATTTCAAATGACTGAATAAAGTTTATCAGTTGTAATAAATTTTGTGAGAATAATGAGATTTCATTTGAATCATCTGTACTTTTTCTAGGCCCTGAGCATGCTGGGACATGCCTGACCACCAAAGCAGGCTTCTCAGCTCTCTTGTTCTTGCTTTTCAGGTAACCAAAAATGAACGGCAGGTTATGAAGCCGCTGTATGACAGGTACCGGCTGGTCAAACAGATCCTGTCCCGAGCCAACACCATACCCATCATTGTGAGTTCACCACCCCTCTGTTAATTACCTGGTTGAATGGTCCCTGGTTATTAATAGGGCCCTCTCCTGCTTTCTCATGAAAAAATAGGCTTTAATACTTCAATGTACCATTACTGTCTGTGGCCCATAAGCTTGAGGAATAAAGAATTTATCAGAGACTTCTGAGGCTACATTTGTCAAAAATTGAGCAAACCTGAAGCCGATAGTATTTTTTTTTTCTTTCGGGAGTCATGATCTGGCCATATGCATCCACCTGTCACGTGCCAGTCTGGCTCCCCCACCCTCTCCTCGGACACAGCACGGGGGGCAGGGCTGTCCTTGCTCCAGGCCTCTCCGCGCCCAGGAGTGCCTCTGTTAGCAGCCTCCTCTCCCCATCCAGGAGGGGTAAGCCCCTCGGGATCATATCCAGGGGAAAATCCTCTAAGGAACTCCCAAGAGCAGGACTTATCTTTCTGGAGGATAGAGAAGTGCAAGGTGGAAAGGCAGGGAGGCTGATGATGGTTATGGAGGTGCTCTCAGAAGCCACCATCCTCAGACTGAGCCACTTTTGGCCTCTGAGTTTTTATCTTGTCAAGAGCAGGGAGCAGCAACTTTCTGGGGAAGCCTTTCGGGATGGCCAGCTTGCTCTCCACACGCCCTCCCCGCCCCATGAATGCAGTGTGAATCCTGGTCCATCTCCTGGGACTCGGTTGCCTCTGTTTCAGTTGCCTCCCTCTCATCTCCAAGGACCTGAAGCCTTCCTCTGCTGGCTTTAGGCTTTTTAGTAAGCACACATAGCCTTACTAAAGGCCATGTTGTTGTTGAAATGCATATTTACCTTAGTGGTTGCTCTTCTAGTCCTGCTTTAAATCTCTGTGTTTATTTCTAGGCCTAAGCTATGGTCTTTAAATGTCTTTTCACAGTGTACTTGTTCATGTGAATGAGGGAGGGTCCAGAGACCTCGCAGGCGTGTTTGAAGAAAGCTCCTTTTCTAGAAATTGCCTGCAGAATAAATGAGTGACTAAGCAATACCAGGATGAAATCTAAGGAATTATTTTCATTCTTCAGTTGGGAACACTTAGTGTCCCTAAGCAGGGTGAGGACAAACAGGGAAGTCAGAAACCTTTGTATCACTTGATGAGCTGACATTACTATAGTTCAAGCTCATTACTATTCAGCTGTTCTCACAGTGACTGTGATTGGGGTGGAAAGAAGGTGGGAAGGCAGGTGTTTCTCCTCAGATAGTTTCCTGCGCATTTGGTTAACATACTTGCATGCTGTTCTTGCTTTCATGTGAGTTCCTTGGCTTGGGGCAGGGGAGGAGGGAGGCTCGGAAGTAAAGAAGCAACTTGAAAAGATCTTTTCCTGGGGACTTTTGGTGGCAAGGGTTAGAGCATATCACTAAAAGGCAGCAATAAATACTGGTGGGGCAGAGAAGGCTAAGAGCTGGCGGGAAAGGGGAAGGGGCTCACAGTGTAATCTACTGTTAACACCTGTCGCAGGGTTCCCCCTCCAGCAAGCGGAGAAGCCCTTTGCTGCAGCCAATTATCGAGGGTGAAACTGCTTCCTTCTTCAAGGAGATAAAGGTGAAGACCTCCAGCCGCTCACCCCTTGCTAACCCCCTGCGTTTCCCTCCGTGTCTCCTGGGAATGGATGGGGTTGTGGTTGGCCCGTCCATGGTGGCTTCTTGTAGCATTCCCTACAAACTGCACGTCGCCCACTTGGACAATCCTTTTTTATTTACATTGTATGTTAGCTGATTTCCTTCATTTCATTTCATTCCCCCACTTCTAGTGATGTTTCTTTTGTTGTTATTTGTTTTCAGGGATGATTCTTTTCTTTTCACAATGTCTTTTTGGTTTGGGTTTTATTTTTCCCCTATTTGGAGAACCACTTTTTCTTTATTTCAAAATTTTATTAAATTAGCTCGTTGCATAACTTTTTGAAAAATCTCATTTACTGAGTTTATAGAAAAACCAAAATTAACAAAGGCAGTATGAAAACACACAGCAAAAATTACCATTTTATAGACAAATGTCATAGTGGCCTTTGACAGGTTTGCTGGTTCAGTTTCACCCACTCTTCCGCCCTCTCCCCTTTCCCCGGCACACTCCGTCCTCAGGGCTGACTGCACAGCCTCTGCCGGGCCAATGTAGTGCCGTGAGCGGCAGTCACTAGGACACATGCTCAGATTTATTTCCCAGGTAACTGTGGGTTTTATACAGATAATCCTTGTTCTCAGTGGCCACTTTTGCTAGAATGGGAGGTACCGTCTGTGCCCACGGGTCTGCGTGTCTCTGTAGGGACCTAATTGGCCTGGACTAGGATCAACTCCTTTCATGTTTTCGTTTCTGGACAGCTGATCAGACTGGATGGCCTTACGCAGGGCTCTAGAGATGAAAAGTCAACATCAGTCTTTTTTTTTTATCAGTGATTGTTTAAGTTGCAAGGGGGAATAAAGCCCAAAGCAGAAGTGAGTTTTAAGAGTTTCCCTTGTCCTTTTTCTGTGAGAGTTCCAAGCCTGGGGTGGTCAGCCATTCACTTACTGTAGTTAGGAACAACTATTTCAGAACATGGGGCCTCGTTCCCACAAAGGCAGGCCAGTGGAGAACAGCTCCGTTTCTTGCCTATTGTCATTATAACCCAGGTAAGGTACTAGAAGCTACACAAGTTTCTCTTTCATTTACTTTATTCCTTTTCTTACCTTTCAAGTGTCTTAAATGCTTTATACACCCAATTTTAAGGTATTAGGCAATGATTGTGCTCACTATTCATATTATTCTAAATAGAGTTTGTTTTTTGAAAATGCTCTCCATGTGAATGTAGGTGACTATACTGTATCGTATCTTAAAAATTAGAGCTGTTGTCCTACAATAAGACTTGATGAAAGAAGATGCATGTTGTCTAGCTGGTAATTTCACACAAAAATCAAATCATTGTAACTGAAGAAATTTGGACAGTTGTGTGTATGAAAATTAACATATTTCTCTTAGAATCATATGATAGAACTCTTACTAGGTAAAAATATGGTTTTTAACACATCCAAAATATGTCATTTAATAATTGCCTCATGAAATGAATGGAAGACATACTAATGATGCTCTTTTTAAAAGAGGACATTCTTCCAAATGTCATCCTTTACCTTAGTTGATTTATTTCACAAGTGTATTTTGGCCATTGCTCTTCTACTGGCCCACTTGGTGGACAGAATTTCAGATAATTTTGCAGTGATTACATTGCTTTTGTAAATAGTGCTTTTAGTTCATTTTGTTCCAATTGGCTATACTTACTAGCATGTAGTTGGGTTGTACAAATTCTTGGCAATTTTGATACAATTTAGAATTTGGTATGTGTGCAGATAAGAAGATTGTATGTATCTAAGTGTTTTTTTCTTTAACCATCCCTAGTTTAAATGTTTCTGGGAAGAAACCAGCCATTTATAGAACAAAGCCAGCTCAAGATCTGAGGACCTAAATCTTCCTAAATTTCTAGGCCAGAAATCCTAGGGGTCATCTAGTCTGTTCTCCAGTCCAACATAAAAATTTCCTCTAAAACTTCACTGACAGAATAGAGACACTGTCCCTAAGAAAAGATTCCATCTTTTAGCTTGACAAGTTTACAGAAATAAAGTAAAATACAATATGATAATGTAATATGTAATTTTAGAATGGATAACAAGTTTGATAACTATATTATAATTAATGAACATAATTAAAATTACCTTCATAGTTATAATTTATGTATTACTTTCTACTCAGTTTTGCTCTCTGAAATGACACAGGATAAGCCCAGTGCCTCTCGCATGAGATCACTTTGTATATTTGCAGTCATCTGACCTGCCCACTCCCACCCACACTGTGAAAAATTTTTCTCCATGTTCTTCCTACTATTTTCCCTATGATATGGGTTCCAGGCCATCCAGCAGTCTAGTGGCTCTGCTCTATATGTACATACCAATTTACCTATATCCTTATTAAAAAAGGGTACCCAGAACTATTCAGTATTCTAGAGATGGTTTAACCAGCAAGGCAGAGGATTCAGGACCCACCCTGACCTGGGTCGGATGAGTGAGGCCCTCCAGTTCTACAAGTCTGACACACGACTGTCAGTGTGTCGTGAGGGTGTTCGACCTCAGTACTGTACTCATTTGGGGCCAGATATCTGTATTTTGCCACACATAGTGCACACTTTTTTGCCCAAAATTTTTAAGTAAAAATACTAATGCGCATTATACATAGGTAGTACTAATTCTGTATCTATACAAATGTTTTTAATTCTTTTATTTATGCTACAGGTTAAAAGTGTAACTCTAGAAAGCAATAATGATATCCATGTGTTTAAAAATAAATGCTAAAAGTCCTTTATAATACAAAAAAAGTATCTAAATATAACTAAATTAAAAAATTAAGACAAAAGATTTTTTTCCTGAAAGTTTGGGCCAAAAAACATGGGTGCACATTGTACATGGCAAAATACAGTAACTCTTTGTTGGAAGGCTGGCCTCCACTCACTAGACGCTGATAGCACATTACCACCCCCTCTTCCCAGCTGTACCCACCAAAAAACACCTCCAGACATTTCCACAGGTCCCCTGAAGGGCCAGATCACCCCAGCTGAGAGGCACTGACGGTGGCCCTGCCTCACTGCTGACGTACGCAATCCCAGGCTTCCTTTCCCAGGGGTTGCTTATTGTCCACGTGTCCAGCTTTTCTTTCCCTACCCTAATTATAGGACCTCGAGTTTTTCCAGTCAGTTACTTTTCCTACTTCTATTCCAGCCTTATCAAATAGAGTAAATCTAGATTTTTGTGTTTCAGCATACCAGCTATCCCCATGTGCTTTGTATTTCCTCCATATTTTGTAATTATGGCTTCTGTGTCTATATCTAAGTAACTGAAATAATGAGTAAGGCAGGGTCAAGTAAGGAGCCTGCTATAGGCTTTTCTCAAGAATCACACCACCAGCACACCATCGTTCTGCACAGATCTTCACAGCCAGCCTCCTTCAGTAGATCAGCTCACCTCATTCTTTACTGACAGCCAGATATTCTACCAGTCCTGTTCAACAAGAGAAAATGGTTGGCTCTCATGATGGGTTTTTAAGGACCCAGTACTAATCACTGTTTCTTTATCAATTGCTTATACTGCCTATGGATTAATTTATTTTAGAATCTACCCAATATTCATAGCAATGTGATGGTCTTAAAATTTGAAGATCTATTTTTCCATTTTGTTTTTTCCTATAATTTTCACAGCTCACTGAAAATAGGGTTTTTCTGCCTTCATCTCAAAAAACCTTGAGTTATCACTATATGCAAGACATTCTCATTTTTTTAGTTCTCTCAGGACCATGGGATGTAATCAATAAGGCCTACATACCTAATTCCTTTCTTATGTGTCTCGAGCTTTAAAACTCTTAATAGTAGTTTGTATTTCTCTTTTAAAAATAAATTTCTAAGACTGTTTAGCAGACATTCATCAAGTACCTGCTATATGTGAGCGGTATACTGACAGGTCCAAATTTCTACCTCTGTGGAGTTTACGGTAGGTCAGGTGGTTCATCCTGGTCTTCCTCATCCAGGGCAGAGAAGGGGGGAGCAGCAGGTTGAGGTGCACTGCCTGTGTGCCAACTGTACCTTATTGGGCACTCAGCAAACATTATCTCAATTAAATCTTATGAAAAATACATATATAGGTGGCCCTGGCCAGTATAGCTCAGTTGGTTAAAACATCATCCTGTAAACCGAAGGGTCTCAGGTTCAATTCCCAGTCAGGACACATGCCTGAATTTCACATTCAGTCCCTGGATGGGGTGTTTATGAGAGGCGATCATTGTTTCTCTCCCTCTCTCCATCCCGTCCCCTTTCTAAGCATGTTCTCAGGTAAGGATAAAAATTTCAAAAATAAAAACTATATAGATGGGGATTGTTACTTCCTCTTCCACAAAAGAAATTTTAAATTACTAATTTAAAAATCACTTTTACTCTGTTAATTTAAAAATGTTTTTAATAATTTAAAGTTTAACAAATTAATAGTGAGGCATTTACTTCCATTGGCCAAGCAAAGAGATTAAAGATCTGAAGTTACGCCAGAGAGAATCGGAAAAAACTACCTAGTTTTTGCCAATGTTGCCATCATAACAGTACTTTCATTATAGTTATCTAATAGTCCATTTGTTTTGGTTTGTTTTTTCTGTTTATTTGCTTATTCGCATGATTTCTCTTCAGAGTCATTATTATAAGCACGCCAAACTCTCAGGTAAGAAAACCCACCACAGGCAGAATGCATCGTGTGCTTTGACCACCAGGGGTAACTGCCCCTGCCTGCTGAGGTGGATTTGTTGCGTTGGCACTGAAACCACTCGGTTTAACTACAACAATTGATGTTGTACTTCCTGATGTTCATGTAGCTGTACTCCTAAATAATTTTTTCATTTTTCAAGGTATTAGGATATTCTCTCCTGGTCTGACTGTACATTTTGGCAGTAAATTACTTCTTTTAAAATTTTTCTTTCATTATACTGTATACCTGAAACTAATACAAAATAATACTGAGTGTAAAGTGTAATTTTTAATTTTAAAAAATCTTTAATCTTTCTTTCAGACTCTGATATAAGAAATACTAATTTGACTTTATTGTTTTTCTAATTGCATTATCAAGACAGAGAATGTGACATTTCTCTTAGAATCTCAGATCCAAAAAAATACAGTCATGGCTCTTATGGGAAGATAAATGTTTTGATCTTCTCAAAAGTTTCCTTAGATTTTGTGTGTCAGACAACCACAGAACATTTTATAATCTCAATTCTTAAATAGAAAGGCTGTATATGGTTTGATTTCTGAGAATGTTCTTGCATAATAAAAAATATTTTCTGAGATATGCAAGTCAGGGACTCCTGAAAACACTGATTGCCAGCAGTGAACTTTGTCCTGCATTGTCACAGAGCTGGGAATTTTTAGATGCTTTTGCTTCATTTGACTGAGGGTATTAATTATGGTGGTTTTTTCTTCCTACCTTCAGCCTTAAATGTTAATTGTGATGTACACCAATTTTTGATAGTTTTTTCCTTATATAGTGGTTGTACATAGTTTGTGTTATTTACTGTGTACATATATAGGTGTTTTATAATATATCTATAAGGTACCTAAGTGTTGCTAAATGTAAATATAGAAGAAACTATATGGTATCTGGATAATTAAAAGATTGTTCAGTGATACTTGTAATGAAAGAATACCAGCAAAGGTAACCAGATTTCGGCTGGGGTTGCTGTGTATCTCCAGGAAGAAGAGGAGGGTTCAGAAGATGATAGCAACACAAAGCCAGACTTCGCAGTCACTCTGAAAACCGATTTCAGTGCCCGTTGCTTTCTCAACCAATTTGAAGATGATGCTGATGGTTTTATTTCCCCGATGGATGATAAAATACCATCAAAATGCAGTCAGGACACCGGGCTTTCAAATCTGCATGCTGCTTCAATGTATGTGGTTTTGGTGGTGGTGATAGAATAGTTGGGTCAAAATAACTTTCCTAAACATTATTTTAGTCTTTGTACTTAAATTGGCTGATAAAACACAAGTGATTTGCCTGGGATGCATCTGTGTGGATAAACAGTAATTTTTGGGGGGGTCAGTTTTTTTTATATATGCTTCATCCTGTGTTACTCAAGGGAGCAGCTGAGACCTTACTTAAACAGTCCGGCAGTCTCTATAAATGGCATTGTGTGGTTCTGTACTCCATGGCTCACCATTTAACACTCACTGAGCACAGGTGTCATCTCTTACTTTCAAATCAAAATATGAGAAAAGCACCATGGGATTTCACAAGCCCAAAGTATTCAGGAGAGCAGGAGCCTTGCTGGAGCCCTCAAAGCCATAGCTGTTGTCAGTGTTTCAGGGGACAGAAAATACCCATTTCTGCTGACCCTCAGTTCCTGCAACAGTTTTTGCATTTACGTCCTTCCCCCTATCAAGTTGCACATGCATTACATTTAGGACAACTTAGATTTAACTCAATTTTATTGAATTCCCTCCCACCCTTAGACCAGAACTCTTGGAACACCTTCAGGAAATGAGAGAAGAAAAGAAAAGGATTCGAAAGAAACTTCGTGATTTTGAAGACAATTTCTTCAGGCAAAATGGAAGGTAGTGCATGTGTTTCCCTTCCCCCTCTGCACACACACCCTTTTTCTTATCTCTCAGGTCTGCATGATGCCTCCCAGGTGGGACCCGCTCTGCATCCTCCCTGCAGCCAAGTCCTGGTGTTTGTGCCCAGGGTCCCTTTGAGGTTGGCTGTGACCTGCTGGGGTTTGTGTGGTCCTTCAGGACAAAATGCTTCTTGGGTGGTGCCCAAGGCTGATGCAGACTGAGCTAACATTTATAAAACTAACCTGTCACATCAGATTCTAATCTAAAATGATCAGCTTGAAGCTGAGTTTCCAGCCAACAGCACTGATTTGCTTTTGTATTTTGTCTTAAGAAACTAGAAGAAATAAGGAAGGACTCTAAATCTTGCTGGTTTTAAATCACATTTTAATCAGCTTAACAATAACCTGCAACCTTCAGACCAACTTTAAAGCACATTTTAAAAGTGAAGATGATAGTTAAGTGAGAATGAAAGATACACAAGAAGCAGTAAATCCAGCTGATTAATAGGGTGCTTTTCTCTAGTGAGTTTTTAGGCACAATGGAGTCCTTATGTAACATTATGCTGAGAAACAGTCTTCCCTGTTCGCAAGTGACTACACACACAACTTCTGGCTCAAGCCACAGCAGTAGACCAGGGCAGAGCAGGGAACAATTCAAATCTCTTACTTTGGAGTTAAGTTTTATCATTTTCAATTGATTTTATTTTAATCCAGATTATCTAACAGTGTAAGCAGTTTCTCAGTAAGTCCCCTTTCCTACTTCTCAAAAGTGTTAGGAAATAAAAGGACTATAAAAATTAACTTTGACATTTAGAATATGTTGTGTTCCAGTTTATTTCAATTAATGTATACATTTATTTTTAGGATCTCTGGCCAGATTTGGATTTGTCCTGTAATGACTTTCTCAAGATTTATAAATTTCAGACTTAAATATCTGCTTTTCTTTCTTCATGTGTTGTAAGAGATTTAGAAAATATAGGTAGGCAGATAAAAGAAATCATACCCAAAATCATACTAATACCCAAAAACAAACCAGGACTAATATTTTGATTCCAATCTTCTTTTTAGGCATATTTTTGGTTCGTCTGTTTATCTTTTTTTTTTCATATAATTATAGTCACATTATGTACAAGTATCTTATACATGAGGAACCATACAGAACTCGATAAACTTCACACGTATTCAGAGAGTATAATTGATGGGAACTTACAATCACCGTAGAAGTTCAGAACCGTGAGAGGCTTCAGACGTCATAGCGTCTGCCTCGTCCCCCGTATCTGAGGAGGGTGAAGCCCTCAGAGGGCGTGGCTGGAGCTCCGCCACCACCCTGTTCCCTCACTGCCTACTGCCAGGAAGTCACCTAGAATCATCTCCTTGAACAAGGCAGGGCAGAAATAAATATGTTAATTTTTTAGTTTATTTAACAAAATAAATAAGGCCACGCTCTTCCCTTTCCCATATTTGTTCTTTAATACAAAGGAAGTCTTATGTCTGAATGTTTACCTGTGCGTTTCAAAGTGAAACAAGCAGCGGGACGGCGCCGCCTGATGGCGGGTAGCGGCTTTGCAATGGGACTGCCTTCCGACGGCTTTCAGCCTGTGTGGAGTGTGGGTGATGGGACCCGCACTGACGTCATCCTCAAGGTTATATTACATCGTGGAGACACACAGATCCACTTAGCACAGTGTTTGACTTGACAATAAGCTCTCCATTAATACTTATGCATATAAAAATGCATATAAAATCACTCAGTAAACTGTAAAGGCTTACTAGTATTATATGATTCAATTGTGGAATTCCAAGACTAATTTTATAATAATTAGAAGTATTAACTGTTTAAAAAAAAACCTGTAAATTATGGTGTACTAATTGCTAATTAGAAATTTAATGCCTCATTAGACAAAATATATAAAAGTGAGAAAGCATTAAGTGTAAATAAAGGATTTCAGTGTATAGAGATTCTTAATGTGAATTCATACACACCAGCAGCAGAGAGAAGGAATTTCTACATTTCTTAGTATTTCATATCATTCTACAAGATGCTAGACTAACTATAAAAACTCAGTCGCACAGTGCCTTTGCGGGGAAGCGTCCTTCACTGCCTGTGTGAACCCAGCTCAGTCTTGACACCAAGTGACACTTGGCCACGCTGCTTCTGCAGGTTGATGACCTGCAGAGTCCCCACATGCTGATAACTCACCTGCTGAGACAGCCAATGATCCTCAGTCCCCTTTCCCTTTGTTTCCATTAGAAATGTCCAGAAGGAAGACCGCACTCCTATGGCTGGAGAGTACAACGAATATAAGCACATAAAAGCAAAACTGAGGCTCTTGGAGGTGCTCATCAGCAAGAGAGACACTGATTCCAAGTCCATGTGAGGGGCAGCCCCAGCTCGAGTGAAGGGGGCTGGTGACACACGGTGAATGTGCCCCCGGTAAGTAGCAGCAGCAGCTCTGCAGGAACTGGAAGGCAGCCTTAGAGCTGGGCCTGTGAAGGATGGAGCCCTTCTGCCGACAGGCCTTTGGAATTGGCTCCAGACTGAAGAAGGCAGCTTGTCCTGACTTAGGAATTTTGTAAAGGAAAGTCAAGATTCCTGTGCTCGTGTGCATGTGCAGACACTGCCGTGGAAGCTGTACTCACACTAGCAGTGATGAGGTACCACATTGGGACACACTCATCTGTAGAGAATATGCACCATTCTTCCATGGGTAACAGAGAAGCAGGAGACCATTCTCACTCTACCTGGGATGAAAACCAGCTCAGGACGTCCTGGAGCAAACTTGCTGCACAGGTCACTGTTCCCTGGACCCTGTAGAGTGGGAATGTACTTCGGAGCCCTGTTTGCTGCCTTGCCCATTCCTGTGACCTTTCCACAGAGCTGCGCCTTCCCTGAGTCCTGTGAATTGTGTCCTGTCCGCTCTCAGGTAGATGGAAGCTGTGTCTGCCTGGAATGGCAGTGCAGACATCTATTTGACAGTGTGTTTCTTTAAGACTTCCTCCACTGACAAAGAACTGTGACCGCTGTAGGACTGGATTGCCTGCAGAGGAAGGGGGGGTGGGGTATCGCAGGAGCTCTATTAATGCTGATTTTTAAATCAGGTGACAGGGTGAACAGCCTAGAGAATTCGTTCCCGAACATCGACTGCACTTTATCAGTCTCAGAGTGCAACATCAGACACGAAGCGAGGCCAGCATGCTATGGCAGCCTGTGTGGAGCTTGGTTTCAATTTCGCACTAGCCAAACATAAATGCCCTTGCTTAATTCTTAGCTGAAGCGTAGGGGGAAGGGAGAGGGGAGAGAAGGAGAGAACCTGTGTTCTCAGCCATCTGAGGACTTACCAGAGTTTAATTTTTTTTAAGTAAACCTGCACTAAAATCCCCTCACTGAGGGGTGAACGTAGCCCTTGGAGGTCAACCCAAGGCACAATCTAAATCACACTATTTTCAAGGTCATGTATGAAGAGAACAAACACTAGTGTGTAGCCATTTATGATCACAATTTTTCCAGAGGCCACGTCACAAAGCTGTCTATATTAGACATTTTGGAGGGACCAGTGAACTTAAGATCCTAAATCATTCATCTCTTCAGTGTGCTGACTCACTTGGTGATTTGTGATTTGTCATTAGTTTTTAACTTTTTATGTCTGCCCCCGGGAAAGTGGGCTCGGCCTGTCTGTCCGCCTTCCGCACACAGACACCGTTGCCAGGAGAAGGCGTTTCGGCGGCTCGCCTGTTGAAGACCATGTTGCAGATGATCAGGGTGCCCACCTCTATGTTATACCATTGTGTGTGTGTGTGTGTGTGCGCGTGTGCGTGTGTGTGTGTGTATTAAAAAGAAGAGAAAGAAAACATAAAATTCTGCTGGCCAGTTGTCAATTTCAAAAAAAAATGGGTTCTTGAGAAACTAGTCAGATTGTATTTATAGCAGCGTTTCTGTTGCTAAGTGAGGGGCCGCTCTGTCAGTTGAAAATTAAGTTGGGAGTGGGTGAGAAAGGACGCCTTCAGGTTTGCTCCTGGAAGTGTTTATGTAGACACAGGAGCACGTGTTGCAAGTGCCCTGGTTTAATCTACACACTTAAAGATGGTACCTAATCCTACAAATTTAAATGTATATGAAAATATAGTTTGGTATTCTCTGCTCTACTGTTTACATTGCAGATGGCTATAATTTCAAGGAGTTATAAGTAAAATGCACTTTAGGACATTTTCTATTTTTGAAATCTGAACATGAATCATTCATATGACCAAAAATTGTATTTTTTAAAAGAAATGTCTAGTCTGTTCTTTGTAATTATTCTTAAATAAGCTGTACTATAAATCATTACCAGTTAACTTTGAAAGGCACATCTGTTTAAGAGTATTGCTTTGAAAATGCTAACATGCTATAGAATTTAAAAAGAGGAAAAGCTATATAAATGAGAAGCTTCTAAATGTTTTGAAATCTGCTGTTTCTGCCAAAGGTAAATTAAGTAAAAGATTTATTCAGAAAACCCCATTCAAATTTATATGGTTGAATAAAAGAAAACACCAAGTTATAGTAAAAAGAAATTGTGTATGGAATGTTGTGTTTCCTTTGGAATTTCTAATAATCTATATACTTCGTAGAGCAGCACCCAGACCCGGGCAGAGGGAGGCCCTGTTCACACTACCAGGCCCTGTCTGAAGACCTGTTCCTTGGCTCTGGCTGCCAGAAGTGCTGAGGCAAGTGTGTTGCCACAGCAACCATTTCTGCAGCCCAGGGCCTGAAGGCCCTGGAGGCAGCGTCTTAATTGGCTTCCCACAGAATACTCTGGACTTATGTGGTTTTCTCCCTTTGCTCTCTTGGGAATGTGTCTGTGTTTATTACCACATGCCAACAAAATAAATGTCAAGGGTTATTTAATAACAGTAAGTAAAGGAAAAGCATGAATAAACTTGATTGTGTGGTTGTAAGAATTAGAGATAGAAGAGGCTTATAATTTTTACAAGAATTTGCTTTTACTGTGCTTAGTCTGGAATAAACATTGAAATAGATGTTTATATGAAGTATGATATCATTACTGCATTGCATCTTTGAATCATTTAGTTCAGATCTCACTTTTCAGTCATGAATGCACAAGGTTTAGCGTGAAGGGCCTGCTTAGACGTTTTCGAGACAGCCGAAGTTTGTCTTGAGCTGTGAGAAGGCCAGCCCAGTCTGTGATCTCCAGTTCAGAGAAAATTTCCATGAAAGGCCAAATCAAATTAGATTTCTTTCCTTGGGTTATCAGTCTGCAGCCAGGATTAGCATTGCCAAGGCCGGGAGCAGCGGGGTCTCTGTCTGGAACATCCGTGTGATTTTTGCTTTGTTTCATTCTGATGCAACATGGCACGGCGGTAGGTGGCAGAAGAGCCTGCTGCAGCGTGTGTTTGCACCCAGCTCTGGCACTCCTAGCCCAGGACACATGCATCAGGGCTGTGCTTGTGTCTGAAATGTGGCACTGATGTGTCCGGAGGCCAGCAGTCTCAGAGCCCCTGAGGTCTGAGTAGTGGCTGAACTTGGAATTCCTTCTAAGGCAAATATTTACATTTATTGTGAGAATCAAGGGCTGGTCATGGTGCCAATTAATTTGGTTCTTTCTGGGGCTGACTGGTTCTCAGTAGACAGAATTGGGCCCAGGATCTAGAACTAATCACAGACTTATAAGGAAAATAAAATTTTAACATTTGTTGATTAGGTTTTTTTAGTGCTTCTAATCTGATAATGAAGATGCCATTTCTCTAAGGGTAACACCTTTCACTTTAATAATTGAATACCATAAACTGTGAGCTGCTGATGGTAGTCTAAATTCTACTTTGCTTCCAAGAGGGTTCTCCTGACACACTGCTTCTGGACTTCTGTCCTGTAGGGGGCAGAGGCGGCTTCCACGCCAAGATGGGCATGGCCTCCGTGTCCGTGTCCGTGTCCGTGTCCTTAGTATCCACGCTGGTAAATCAACAAGGAGGGATGGAACTGCACTACAGTGTTGGAGCCGTGTTTCCTCTGAAGCCCATGGGTTTCGGAAAAACCAGAATGTGCTTTCCTTTCTTGTTACTCCCTTCTTCCCCCTCCCTTCACTTGACCATCTAAATGTACTGAAGAACATATTTTGTCCAAAGACAGGGCAGCTGACGTGGCAAGAGTGCCGCATGTGTTGCTACCACGTTATCAATAACTTTTCTGATGGGAGACTGTGCTCCTGTGGGCACCCGAGTTCTTCCACCATGACCCCTCATAATAGGTGCGTGTAGACAGGCTGAGATTGCGTACTGATTTGCACAGACGTGTATGTAAAATGAACTGTGTACATCCACAACTCATATTGCTATGAAGCCGCAGTTATGTCTCCAGAGAATCTCATTTTGCCTGGAGTCCAGCCAATCCTGGTCATGTGTGTGGCTCGAGAAATCATTTTGGCAGATATAATTCTCCATCTGAAAGCACCTCCCCAGTCACAAAAATCTCCAAGAGTGGGTACAATTTTAGTAAATGAAATGGGACCAGAACAATGTTTACATGGCATATAAGCAGAAAGCATTTGAAATTTGAAGTGTCCTTTTTAAAAATATAAACTGAATGAAAAATGTTATGTGCATTTTTGTACATGACTGTATTTTGTATAACCTTAAATAAAATATCTTGAACTGTGAAAGTTCTGAAACTTCTGACAGCATCAGGAACTTGTGACTGAACTGCCCACCTGTGGGGTCTGGCCTTCCCCTTCGGTGAGAGTCAGGCAGCTCCCTTAGCTCCTCAGAAGCCTCACGAGGATTGAGTTTTTGTTGTCTGTCTCCTGGGAGCGCACCGAAAGATGAGGCAGCCTGGGTACTAGCTAGACACGTGATGGTCATAGGTAGGAAAATGGGCTTGTGCTGTCTGCTCAGCTGCCTTTATTAAAAGAACTCAGAAAGGGCTGATGAGGCGCAGTAAGAAAAATAAAGTGTAAATTCGTTTCCACAGTCTGTTTTGCCCTCAGGCGTAAATACATTAGCCATTTACTACTATGAAGCTAATACGGTCACCAGGAAACTGTGACTCCAGAGAAAAGGCACATTTCACCCTTTGCGTCACCTGTCACAGGCGGGGCTCTCCCTCAGGAAAGCCTTGAGCAGCCTCCAGAGCCCCCACCCCACCTTCCGAGGGAAAGGCAACACCTCCGTGGCACTTGGGTCTGCGAGTGCTCTTCAGACTGCGTGCGTCATAGATGCTGTGCATGCCAAAAGTAAATGTGAAAAATATATTCAACTTGAAGTTGTTGTTTTTTTTAATGAAGGCTGAGAGTAAGGACCTTGTCCTGACCCCAGGATTCAAGCTGATATCTGGCATCAGAGTACAAAGGCTTATTACCACTACTAATGGTACAATTTAATGCTGTTCTGCCAAGACTGAATAATTTCACTTTTGAAACACTGGGTCCAAAGTAGTGAAAGGTGGGCATAAGTGACGGGTGGCAGTTAGCGATTCTCATTCCATAAATCACACACATTTGGTGGTGCCACCTGAGGGCCCGACAGTGCTGCTCGCCCAAGTCCCCCAGGGTCTGCGGCCTATGACGGCCTGGGGGCCCCCACAGTCCCCAGCAAAGGTGTTGCTCCGAGTCCTGTAATACTTCGCCACACTGCGGGCCACCTGCACAGGAGATTCAGCATGGAGGCCTACGCATGGCGGGGCTGGAGGCTGAAGGGGGGAGACAGTTCCTTTCAATACTTTTAAGGGCCTGATCATTACCTCTTCTAGAAATGGATTCCAAATCTTGTAAAAACAAAATACATCAGAGTTGTCCCTAAGCTGGGGAAGCTTATCAAGCCCATATATACACCATAGAATTTCATATTCAGTAAGAGCCAGAAGTCAAAATTCCAAAATGCATTTTTAGAGTCCTGGCTGGCAGGCGGGGAAGGGGGGTTTGGCAGGAACTGGGGTTGTTGACAGTTTGGCTCTCACTTTTCCTTCACAGCAACAGGGCCTGTGCCACAGGGCGGCTCTGTGCGGGGCAGCACCTGCCTAGGCGGAAGGCGCCCAGAAGGAAGCTCGCGTGGGCCGAGTCTCAGAGGCCACTCAGATCTCTGCGTTTTTGCCAGGCCTACGTGTGTCACTTAGACGCTACTGTGAATTCTGAAACTCAAAATGTTTTAGATGTTTAAATTTTCCTTTAATTTCTCAAAAGCAATTCAGTGATGTTTGGAAACCCTCGTCATGCTGCTGGTTCTACAGCTTTGAGTACTCCTTGATGAGGTATTTCGAGAAGTGATTTTTTTTGTAACTGTTACTTTTAAAAACTTTAAAAGTACTGGACAAGACTAGACAAAGGTGGGGGTGGAGAAGCAAGGGACAGAGTGCAGGATATGTCCTTCTCCAGCGGCAAACAGCAGTGCTTTCTGAACGGGAAATGGGAATGGCTGGGGCCCGTGAGGACCACCGCGCTTGCAGGCGCTGCTGCACCGCTGGAGCCAGACCTCAATTTAGGTGAGAGTGCAGGCTGAATCCTGGGTGTTTGCGGGAACAAGCAGCTACCATTGACTCAAAACCCTAAATTAACAGAGACCAGCACACCACCAACAGGCCAAATGCTGCTTGAGGCTTAAGGCCCAGACTGCAGACAGGTGGCTTAGCTCTGTGACCTACAGCCTTACTTTCTCTCCCTACATCTCTGTTTATCCGGAAAATGGAAATAATCATAGTACCTACCTCATGGGGTAATTACTTGGATGAACACAAAGTGAGCACACAATAAATCAATAAATGATGGTGGTGGGTTATCAGCTTTAAAACAAAGATTCTTTCTATGCCAGAGTCCAACAAGACATTTTGAATGGCTTGTTGCAAAAAAGAAGCTGTGTTTCCCCCCACCGTGACCTTTGATTGTCTGTGTAAGTGGGAAGCAGAATGCACCTCCAACACGGTAAGTACAACCTAATGCCACCAGGGGCAGCTAGATTGAGCACACTGACCCACTTTCTCAGAGGGGAGCAGGACAAAATCGTGGCTACTAATTATTCTCAGGTAAATTCCATCAAAACCTGTGGGCAGCTTTCTCAAGATGATCTATGCTTGTTATGTTCCTCCCCTCACAGAGCAGGGCACAATTCCTTTAAGTCTTCCCCAAAACATTTTGGGAGGTCCAAATCTGCTGAGACGTGAAAAGAATTATCTGTCTGAGCCGGCAGCCGAGACCTACGTGGGAATGCCAGAGATCTGTGGAGTAAAGGAACAGAATAACCTTTGAACTGATTTCTGGGTCAGCTGCTGTCCTAAAATTTCTGTCTCAGGGTATATTTTAAAACAACTAAAAGCAAGGGTTACCCCAGGGAGGAGAGTTGCTCCAATTTTGGCAAGCTCCTAATTAGCATGCCACAATTCATCAAGCCTGTGGGCAAGGCTGAGACTAGGGGGGTACCTGTGCCCCTCATCTGCCCCCCCTGGGAAGGGGGGGAAGCAGGGTGAGAAGGGGTGGCAAACTGGAGGTGCCACTGCTTAGGTCAGCAACAGGGCAAGCTTCGGGTTTGAATGATTTCACAGTCCCGTTGAATGAAGCCCTGCCCCCATTACC